GCGAAATTATATCTTACAGGTGGTTTTATTTTAAAATTCTTTTTTTTATAAAATTCCAATAAAAGCTCTTCGTCCGACGAAGATGTGCCGACAGAAAAATTTGCGAAGAGAAGTTCAACCTCTTCAAGTCGAATTTCAACGGACCAGCGAAAAATTCGAATTGGGAAGGTTTCAATTCAGGGAAATGAGCATTTCTGTTAGAAAAAAATCAGAATTGCAGTATAAATTGTAAATGGCGATATTCTCGGTGCCTTCGTTAGCTGCTTGAAAAGAGTTGAAAGGATGCTAAAGTTGAAGGCAAGGGTTTATTTATCAAATGAGTCTTTTACTTCCTTTTGAAATGCATCAAATTAAATTTTTATCGCTTTTCTCTTTCCTACGTCAATAAAAAATAGCCGAAAGGCCTCCAGAATATTCAAGCTATATATTAAAGGGTTTGACGGCGAGGAAAGCCTTATTCGAATTGGGGCGGATTTTAGTTCATTGTTTCCAAGAGAATTCAGACTTCAGGAATCTTGAAAAAAAATTCGCCATAGGGACGTGCAGTACAGTATTTCAAAGTTCAAATGTAGTAAAAGTTCAAAAGTACCGATTGAGCGATCAGCTAATTATTTTACGCGAATTTCGAATCATGAAAGCCTCGCATGCTGCGATTCTTCACTTCTGTCATATATTTATACAGTATTTCAAGAGAAACTCAAACGATTTCGAATACAGTACTGTGGTTCTTTTCTGTATATATAGCCTGCATGTGTGTGGCCTCGCCTACGAAGACTGTGGTGCTTCATCAGCCTACGGGAATCTTCTGATTAAATTTCTTCTATTTTCTATTTGAATAAAATAAAAGGTAAACAAGGAGCGTNAAGGCCTCCAGAATATTCAAGCTATATATTAAAGGGTTTGACGGCGAGGAAAGCCTTATTCGAATTGGGGCGGATTTTAGTTCATTGTTTCCAAGAGAATTCAGACTTCAGGAATCTTGAAAAAAAATTCGCCATAGGGACGTGCAGTACAGTATTTCAAAGTTCAAATGTAGTAAAAGTTCAAAAGTACCGATTGAGCGATCAGCTAATTATTTTACGCGAATTTCGAATCATGAAAGCCTCGCATGCTGCGATTCTTCACTTCTGTCATATATTTATACAGTATTTCAAGAGAAACTCAAACGATTTCGAATACAGTACTGTGGTTCTTTTCTGTATATATAGCCTGCATGTGTGTGGCCTCGCCTACGAAGACTGTGGTGCTTCATCAGCCTACGGGAATCTTCTGATTAAATTTCTTCTATTTTCTATTTGAATAAAATAAAAGGTAAACAAGGAGCGTGAGCAAGCATCCATGCCTCTGTGGCCATTACATGACGTCAGCATTGCTGAGTGGGTTACAATGATCACCATCTGATTAAATTTCTTCTATTTTCTATTTGAATAAAATAAAAGGTAAACAAGGAGCGTGAGCAAGCATCCATGCCTCTGTGGCCATTACATGACGTCAGCATTCGACTCACCCAATGTTACTAGTGGCCGTCCTCGTCTTATGGCACGACCAGCGCTTGACTCACGTTAAGTGCTTTCTCTAAGGTTTTCCCGAAAAGTCACATTGAACTTCTTTGCAACAACTTACCGATGAATCTTTTACTTGACTCCCTGACCTGTTAGCTCGGCGCTTCATCGGCGTCTTTATACAGCAGGCAAATCCAGGCAACATTGTTCCAGGAATTACTTTGCATCTTTCTTCGTTTCTCCGATCAAGATATATTTTAAGGAAGAAAAGCATCGTTTCGTATGCTTATAGCTTCTGTCTCTTTATTGAGTTAACACTGGGCAACATTGTTTATACAGTATTTATATAAGAATTAATTGCGTAAGAATGACGCTTGAAACGAAACTTTGAATCCGGCCAATCACTGTTATTGAAGCAACACAGATCGGCGGGTCTTCGTAAATGCACATCCTTTCGACGATAGCATTGCTTCTGTCAGTGAAACAAGAACTTTTCCTAAGGTATATACTTTTCAAAAATGGAACAAACGATAGGAAAAATGGCGCAACTAAATGTTTGCTTTAGAAGACTCAATGAATGAGATGATGGATGAATGGTGTGCTCCGGGTGCAAACGTGATTGCGGTATGAAAGAGCAATAACTGTAGTAAATTGTAATCGCGGTGGGGCAGGATTTTTTCGCCATAGGGACGTGCAGTACAGTATTTCAAAGTTCAAATGTAGTAAAAGTTCAAAAGTACCGATTGAGCGATCAGCTAATTATTTTACGCGAATTTCGAATCATGAAAGCCTCGCATGCTGCGATTCTTCACTTCTGTCATATATATTTACAGTATTTCAAGAGAAACTCATTGCTGTAGCACGTTCGCTTCGTTGTGATTAATATCACGAATTCATTTAAACACTGCAGAAAACAACAACCTTGCATTATTTTATCTCTTTCAATAGCTAAGGCTTTTTACTACCTTTTATAACAAAGTACTTTTAATTTAGTTAATGCAGAGAATAACCTAAGTACGCACTTTATGTCAAAAGTTCTACAGCATGAGAAGAATGTGACGTGCTTTGATTTCATACAGACGTGTCTTCGAATTGAGCACGTTTTCATTATACAGCATTATAATCTTCATGTCACTTCTGGAAAATTTTGGGAGAAAACCCATTTATAATTGAGTACAAAGTCAGATGACTCACCGTTGAATTTATCTTCATCCGCCTACAGAAGAAGTCGTTCTTCGATGAGTTCGATCAGTTCGCGAGTGAATATATTTTTACTTCTGGTTCCACTGAATAAAGATCACGAAGTCGCTCCGCAAATTTCACTCCCGATTAATCAAACAGATCATCACATTTCACCTGGAATAATCCGGCAAGTATGTAAGATACTGAACTGCAATTTTATGAAATAATAAATGTCATTTGTCTATAATTTTTCTCCTGATGTGCATACACAAATAGAGTTCTGAATGCAACGGATCCTCTTTGGTTTATCCGGGCCTGAACTCCGCGACCGTATAGAAAAGTGCATGCGGTCAAGTGGCAGTTCGCGCTCCTCCACAGTATATGCCCGAGGAAGGTATAGCTCGGCATGCAGACACTACTTCATCTTCTTTTTTTTTATTCCACATGCAACAAAGGTTGTGATATGTTTTCTCGGAATGCTCCCGCTGCGAGTGGTCAGCGGAGCGGCCGAAGGTGGAATGCCTTGGAATAAGGATGCATCAGCGGACGGTTCCGCACGAGTTAAGGTAAAAAATAAGAAGGAAAAAAAAAAGAGGAGTGAGTGCGAAGCACGACAGCGGGCGAGAATCGCGGCCGTGACCCTTCACTCAAATGGAGAAGTCTGGGTTGCATCTTCCGCCTCTATATTTTACATGAAAAGCATGAGAGAAATCTACGGGTACTTTGTACTCAGAAAGGAGAAACGGGTATAACTGCTCTTCCGCTTCTCAAAATCAGCGATACAGTACTGTAAATCATAAGTTTCGCGAAGTCCTCAGATCGAACAGCAAATCGTACTCGAACAGCACCAAAGTTAATTTTACAGTCGCGAGTTCACACTACGGAAATGAAGTTCCCTATATACAGTACTGCTGTGTACACATGCAGTCACGTCATTTTTGGAACAGCACTCAAGTCGCGTGGACGCCGTTGTGGCGTTGTGCAAGGGTGTTGCACGTAACTTCTGAATTTGGGATCCTTGCATCAGCTGCTCAAGTCCTGCTAATATTCAGCATAGTTGAAAAGCGCAGTAGTGGCCTGAGTAAGAAGTTAGCTTGTAGGCACCAACCTGCCTTCTCGACGCGCAGTCATCCCTACTGCGTTTTATAGTTTCTCGGACATTTTTTACATTAGTTTCAGGTCTGATCTATAGTACTTAGTGCTAATATGGCGTAAGGAAGAGAAAGATGATTTGAACCGCGCGTTTGAACAACACGGACCATCAGGCCATGACATTTATTGAAAATAATTTAACAGGTGCCGTCCATATTGAAATATGCAACCACACTACACTGTGTATGTTCAGAACAGGCGAGTGAGTCGAAGAAGTACTGTACATAATACTGTACGTTACATGCTGCTGACTTCACCCCACGATGATTCCCAAATTAACTCACAAACAGTACATCATATAAGCCCAAGGGAGTTTTTGAGCGGGTAGCGACATCTCTGTCAAAATGCTATATCGTCTTCAATTCTGCTCTCTCCACCCATTCCGAAGCTAAACCTGGAATCGTCTCAATTGGGCTGTGGAGCTTGTTACCCAAATAATGTAGATCTTCAGGGTCTAGTGTACTTTAGTGATGCCAGTGAAACGCACTGTGCGTTTCATAAAAACGACGCGGCGTCGTTTTTACTGAGCCGCGTCGTTTTTAATTTTGCCAGTATGCTCCTTACCTAAGTCAGACATTCTTGGACTCAAGAATGTCTGCAAGAGTCTTTTGGACTTGAGGGTAATAACTGGAAAAAGTCGTATCAACTTCTCGCGTCATCACCGGACTCATTCTTCAATCGAACATCCGTGGTTGGACGGAAGAGCTGCGCGTCAGTAGGGATGACGCAAAATATCAAAGAGCCTGTAAAAAATGTAATCACTCAGGTCTGATCTATAGTACTTAGTGCTAATATGGCGTAAGGAAGAGAAAGATGATTTGAACCGCGCGTTTGAACAACACGGACCATCAGGCCATGACATTTATTGAAAATATTTTAACACGTGCCGTCCATATTGAAATATGCAACCACACTACACTATGTATGTTCAGAACAGGCGAGTGAGTCGAAGAAGTACTGTACATAATACTGTACGTTACATGCTGCTGACTTCACCCCACGATGATTCCCAAATTAACTCACATACAGTACATCATATAAGCCCAAGGGAGTTTTTGAGCGGGTAGCGACATCTCTGTCAAAATGCTATATCGTGTTCAATTCTGCTCTCTCCACCCATTCCGAAGCTAAACCTGGAATCGTCTCAATTGGGCTGTGGAGCGTGTTACCCAAATAATGTAGATCATCACACCTGTGAGAGGAGCTTTAAAATTTGGTCAGAAGTCTGATCGTTGATTACACTATGATGCATTACCGTATTGTCGTTGGAGAAATTATTCGGAGGCGGAGAAAGATATGAGGGCGATCATGATTGAAACTTTTGGCGAAGCGTAAGTTTCCAGGTTAATTTTGTGTGATTGTTGTGAAGTACAGTACAGTACAGCACTCGAAATAACTCCCGATTGTAAGATCTTCAGCAAAAGTGTGAACGATTGTGAAAATGATGATGTGTACCCAATTTGTTCTCCTATTGTGACGTGAAGAGCTGCCATATCCGAATATGTTGTACTCTCGTGTAAAAGTGCCGTGCCCTGCTGGCCAAAAGTCATCAGAGAGGAGGGAAATTGATCGAAAAACAATTATTTTTGATTCCTTATTGACGCTTCTGATGCGAGGCGCGCTCGCTGCTTCCGCGTACAGTGTACTGTAATTTTTTTATCCTTCCGTGTCCACGTGGGATTCCGACTTCGTGTGATTGTGGTGGGGGCCAGTTCCGCATTGCCCCCAATATTGGGGAACCCCGGGGAATGTGTGGCTCTCCCGCCTACTCTACGGGGATGCGTTCCAGCAAGCGTTTCGTAAGTATTTGTGACGTTTGGAAGTTTTCCAGGGTTTGCAGCTTCAAAGCACGTTTGCCGTTTCAGACCTATCCCAATTGGAATCATCTCATAGCGTTATCCGGTTTATCAGAGAAAATTAATTCGATGAGGATAGATCAATTTCCCATGAAGCGTGCAAACGAATGATTTAAGAGCGGGGTTTCCGAATGCTTGCGCTATTTTGTCATGCATTACCCCGACGCAGTAATGCATGCGAATCCTTATCTGGGGTATAGGCGCACATGCTGGATCCCGATTGCGCGAACGTCACACGAATCAAGAGGCTACGGGTGTGTTGTGTCTTGTGGTAATTGTCGCTTATCTCCATGTGATCGTAGAAACAACTTTATTGTGCGTGACCCCATGCGGGGTTGGCTAGTATCAGAATGGCTGTGATTTCTAAGGCGCAGTACGATGAAATCATTGAGTGCATCCTATCGATTGACCCGGAAATTGCAATCGATCGTAACAAGTACAGTGTCTTGTTGGACAAGTTTCCCAGGTTTGCTGACCAAGATCTATCTAATTCAGGAGGTCAGCCATTGAATGCATTTATTGTAAATTGCAGTATAAGAAAGCGAACTCTGGGGAGCATACTTTCTGCCTACGTTCAAAGGCAAGTGAGGCGAAATCATCATCGAGTTTTGAACAAGGCGAATGGTCAGACGCTGTACAAGCAGTAAGTCAGTTTTTTGTCCAATTCGTATAAATCTCACCAGGTTTCATTTCAGGTTTCTTGAATCTGTTTCTAAAAAGGACCCACCTGGCATTATCCTGAAGATGGCTGACAAACTTCAGTTTTCGCCTGCGTTGTTGGCTCGATTTCTCGTTGAGCAAAATCTGAAGGAATCCTCGAAAAATTCGAAAGGCAAGTGTACACAACGTATAACCTATGTTTTGTTACTGTTTTCACCTTTTGTTGTGCAACAGAACTCCTGAAAAATGTGGTGAAAGCGCGTTCGCGTGATCCTGAGTTGATACCTGACCGTGATTTGAAGTACGAAGTATGGCTGGCGAACTTGGAGGACCCAGTTTACGGTCCGCAATCAGATCTGATTGGAAATCAGATCGGATTCGATTATGAAGAGATCTTGAAGCAAAATTTGGAGAAGCTTGGGTTGTCTTTCTATGACGAAACTGATCTGCGAGCTGAAGATTTTGATAAAACCCCTGACGTGAAGCTTGTGATTCCGATTGGTGCGTACTTCTAATTATCAAAAAATTGCAAGTCTATATTTGGAATTTTCCTTTTCAGCGATTGATGGTTTCATTGTAAATTGGATTGAAAGCAAGGCGATGTTTGGAGATCCCCAGCTGTATGAGGAGCATTACCAAGAACAATTCTCATCTTATGTGAATCGTTTCGGTGGTGGACTTGTGATCTACTGGTTTGGTTATGTATCCGAGCTTGACAAAGATACGCATCGTGGAGTGAAAATTTCTTCAGAATTACCCGGAAACTTTGTAAAGTTTGATCCTGCTGCGACACTGAAGAGACATAACTTCAAGTTTGGCGGAGGGTTGGAAAAGGTTTCTGGTTTTTCCCAGGTTGGCCACAGTGATTGAAAGTTATACGGAAGTAATATTTTCGAAGGAATATTTTTTTGCCGAGTGTTCTGCATGTATTGAAATGGAAGTGTTCCTCTTCACGTTCTTTTTTTTTTGCCTCCACCGCATTGTTAGATCAGAATATGTAACTAAAAAATTTTTTTCATTCTAGACCAAAGAACAGTGTGTGATGAATTTTGCCAAGAAAGTAATGCGGGGTATGGGCTGGGAAGAAGGTAAGTTGGAACAAACTTGACTTCTCAGTTCATAACTCGTAACTTCGAAGTCTTCGTGTGCTTTTTGAAACGCAGGAGAGGGTTTAGGTAAATCAAAGCAGGGTATGAAAGAGGCACTGAAACCTGTGGTGAAGCTCAACACAAATGGTCTCGGCCACGACGCAGCAAAGGAATTCACCTTCAACTGGTGGGAACACGTCTATGACACCGCAGCAAAGAATGTCGACGTTGAGGAAACTCATGTTAGTAAAATCCCACTACTCTAGAGTCTAGATGAATCACGTGCATTTTTCAACCGAATAAATCATAGATAAAGCTGATCATGCATGATTGCCGGAACTTTCATGTGTAGGATGGTGTGAAGGTGAAGAAGCATAATCGGAAACTTTTGATATCCACGACTACGGGTGGACAATTAGTGGAAGAAGACAATTCAGCTCCGGAGAAGAAGCGAAAGAAAAAAAAGAAGAATGATGGAGACGACGGTGTCGAATATGCATCCTTCGTCAAGGTTAATGAACTTCAGAACCCCAGCATCATTTTGAGAAATATTTGTTCCTCAAATTTTTAATACTGTATTATGCTGTATCTTAAATCATATCCAAAGGGTGGCACGGCTGTTCCAGTTGCTCCGGTAGCTCTCAGAACCACGACAGACGATGAACTTTTCAAAATATGTGGTGGTCTTACAGCACACAAGTGAGCATCCGTTTTTTTCAATCTGTGTTCTGAAAGTAAAATGATGGAATTTTATCTGCAGGTCTGAAAGGCATGGACATCGACTCAATGGAAAGTTGAAACGCTTGGAAGCACATGAAGCCCGTTTAGCTGATCTTTCCTTCACAGAAAGTGGAAAAATAAAAAAGAAAAAGAAGGATAAAAAACGAATTTCTAGCAAAAAATTATCTGCATCTGAGGAATACAGCTGATGTTGACTGAAAAATAGTCTTTCACACGTTCTTTCGAAAATTTCTTCTTACCCAAAATTGACTGCTTTTTTAAACTTCGCATCTTTAGAAGGTCGCACAAACATATTGTCTATTGAAATGACTTCGATTGGCGTTTTAGATTTTTTCGAAGAACAAAATTACGACAAAATGGTCCTAACTTTCCCGGTGGCAGAGGTGAGTATTTCTCTCATTTTCAAGCTTTGAGAAGTAAATCAATCAATTCAATCTGCGCCAGTCGTGGCTGAAAGAACACGCCTTGCGAGCAGTTGATGGAAAACACTCCGTCGAATTCCAAAAAGGAACTTCGACTAATGCCGGTGATATGAAAACTACGCCACCTGAAATGATAACTGCTTTATTGGAGGACCTGCAGAAAAAACCTAGTCTACAAATGAATTTCAATGAGTGGAATGTTCTCTTTTCATGGTAAGTTGAAGTGGTTCAAGTTGTTTCTTTCGATGAAAAATGGTTGCATTAGATTGCGTTGAGTTATATGTTGTAAATTGGCTATGATGAAGAAACTGTTGTCATCGCTGAGCATGTCATTGTTAAGTTTTGCTATTTGTGAAAGACCTTCTATTTCCTAGCATCCTGACATCGCTCAAGGACAACTCAAGCCTTTTGTGTGAGCTTCAAGCCATGAAAACTAACCGACTGGTTCCTGATGTTTCACAAGACTTCGATCACTTGTTGAGAACCATCCAGTATTTACTTGATATTGGGTCAGATTTTGATGTCATTCGTGAGTTTTTATGTCGGAAATCCTCTTCCACGCAACAATGCTTCAAAATCAACCCTTTTTCATTATCTTGACAGGATCTAGACATGAAAATCCAAGGAACTTGACTGTAGTCATTGCTAATCGCGCAAATGCTTTTCGCGTGATTGCGGATAGTGTTGTCCCTGTGCTACTGGGTGCAAGAATGCCGGTCTTGATATCAGTGTCTGAGGA